ATTGAATTAGATTAATCGGTGTGACAATTGACTCAATAACCATGCCGAATCATCATATCCGGTTTTAAAAATATTATTTTTATATAATATGTTGATCTGCATTTGATCTGCATTATATATTGATCTGCATTTGTTCTGCATGATCTGCATTTTCTGTTTGATCTGCGTTTTTTTGATCTGCATACCATTCGAAGCCGTAATCTTTTAAAATCTGTTTAAGAAAAAAATATCTTAATCGGACAAAATATCTTAATTCTGAAAACTTCAAAGCGATACCGAGTTATGCTCTGTTGTTTACACTACACGTTTATTTTGTACACGCGAATACTAATTTCAGATCATACCAAGTTACCAACCATACAGGTTACCTGTAAGTTTGTAACGTTATTTAGATTACATTATGATTTATGCAGACCATTTTCTGTTAATTGTTTTAATTAAATTAACTTACCAACTCTAACACGAAGTCTTAATTTTCAGTATTGGTCAACTTAGATGTCTCAACTGCTCACCTAAATTTAATTTCATGAAGTTTCAACCAAACCGCATGATTAAAATTTCAAACACTTGCACTCAGTATTTTTACGTCAAAAACATTATATTCTGTAAAAGCCCTTTCTCAAAAAAAAAAAAACATTATAGTCCATAGTTTGACACGTAATATATGTAATTATTTCTTTGGTTAGAATTGAGAAAAAGGCTATATTTATTGCATCTGCATTAATAATATTTGAAGTTTGAACATAAGTTTGTTAGATATTTAGTTGGAATTTTTTTCAAAAATTTGAAAAAGTCATATGATAGTTTCTAAAATCCAAAACTTTGATACTTTTTTTTCAAATTTCACAAGACAATGGAGTATTAATATAATGGATAAGAATCATATGTTGTAATTAGGATCGGTCTTAGGCCAAACTTGTTAATTTTTTTTTTTAGATTGTCGAAAATTTTGAAAATATTTATATGTATATAAGTCCCTTTCCAAACTAATTTAAAAAAAATTCAACTAAAATTTTTAAAGATCAATTTCTCAAAATTTCAGGACCGACTCCGGTTGTAATATCACAAATGATGAAAGTCTTAGTCATATGAAACTATCTAATCAACATAACATTTTTTCACTAATGATTTCAAATATATAATTTTAAAACAAATGTGATTTGTTTCTTTTTCAGAAGAAAAAAAATTGAAAGACTGGTAGCGTAATAAATACGTTAATTTGGTCAAAAAATAAAAATGATGATTCAATTCAAACCTTTAGTGTTTTAATTTCGTGAGGGAAGAATGAAAAGGAAAGGAAAAGTCTAATAAATAGAGTAAGAAGAGAAGAATAAGCCTTTGGCAAATAAATGTGTGTTCAAAGTTTTTTGAGTTGGTTGGTCTTACGTGCGGGCGGGTCTGTTTTTTCAACTTCCCCTTTCCTCTTTCTCCTATAATCCTTTTTTTTCCATGAATTTTCCATGAAATTCATCTTCTTACTTTGTAATTTCCACACCTTGTCTAAGAAGAAGACGACGACTACGCCAACGATAAAGAGCAAGAAGAGGAAGAAGAGGTAGTTGAAAAACGATGAAGATGGTGACGCGTGTGTTCATGACCGATGATGATTCTCAGTCACTCTGCTTTGTTTGTTTCCTACTCTTCGTTTTGATCACAGGTGATTCTCTTCCTTCTCTATATTCGTTGTGAGTTTTGTTTTTGGGAATTATAGACAAAAGAAGAAAAAAAAGACTGTGTTCTCTGCTTGAGTTGCTTTGATGGATATTTAAACGTGGTTTAGGGTTTAAATCTGACGTTTTTAGGGTTTCACTTTGTTTTATGGATTACTGTTGTTTACTTGAAAGTGGATTTGAGCATTTGTAAACTACCTGAGATCCGAACCAAACCCGACATAAAAAAATCTGAATTTGCTTTGATCCCATCTATAAAAAATATTTAAATGAATTTCGTATTAAGGTATTTCAGATTATGGATATTATCTAAACCGGAACGAGTAACCAAAAAACCTCAAAACCAAATTCGAAAATAATATTATAGTTTCATACTTATTTTGATATGATATCTTTCTAAAAATGGTGAAAATTATATATTTTAGCTATATCTCATGAAGATATCTTTACTTATGTGTTGATTTTGCTTCCATGACAGCCATAGCAGTAGCTGGAGATTCTCTTGACAGTGATAGAGAAGTCTTGTTAAGCCTCAAATCTCACCTTGAATCCCTAAACCCAACGAACAGAGGAGTGTACACTCAATGGTCAACAGAGAAGCAAGACGTGTGTAATCAATGGCCTGGTATCTCATGTATGCCTCAGGGAAGTAGAGTCACAGGGATCAACCTAAGTGACTCCACCATCTCAGGTGCTCTATTCAGTAACTTCTCCTCCTTAACACAGCTCACGTTTCTTGATTTATCAAGGAACACAATCGAAGGATCAATACCAGATGACCTGAGCCGTTGTAAAAACCTGAAACATCTCAATCTTTCTCATAACATCCTTGTTGGGGAGCTTACCATATCAGGACTATCAAATCTTGAGGTTCTTGATCTCTCAGTGAACAGAATCGCTGGTGATGTTCACTCCACTTTCCCAACGCTCTGTAACCGTTTGGTTGTTGCAAATCTATCCACCAATAACTTCACTGGCAGAATGGATGACATCTTCGATGGTTGTCGGTATCTCAAGTACGTTGACTTCAGTTCCAACAGGTTCAGTGGAGAGATATGGAGTAGTGTTGGGAGACTGGTCCAGTTCTCAGTCTCTGAGAATCATCTTCTCTCCGGGAAGATCACACCTACAATGTTCAGAGGGAATTGCACTTTACAAGTGCTGGACTTGTCTGAAAACGAGTTTGTTGGGGAGTTTCCGGGACAAGTCTCGAATTGTCAGAGCCTGAAGGTGTTGAATCTGTGGGGGAATAACTTCACTGGGAACATTCCAGCTCAGATAGGCTCTATATCTTCTCTCAGAGGCTTGTACTTGGGGAACAATAAGTTTTCTAGAGAGATACCTGAAACTCTACTAAACTTGACCAACTTGATCTTTCTTGACTTGAGTAAGAACAGTTTTGGAGGAGATGTACAAGAAATCTTCGGGAGATTCACTCAAGTGAAGTATCTAGTTCTCCATGGGAACTCATACGTTGGAGGAATCTACTCTTCTAACATCCTCAAGTTACCTAATCTTTCAAGGCTAGATCTTAGCTTCAACAAGTTCTCAGGCCCGTTACCTCCTGAGATCTCTCAGATGCAGAGTTTGAAGTTCTTGATTCTTGCTTTTAATAACTTCAACGGTGATATACCACAAGAGTATGGGAACATGCCGAGTCTTCAAGCACTTGATCTCTCATTTAACAAGCTGACCGGTTCTATACCATCTTCATTTGGAAATTTGAAGTCTCTTCTATGGCTAATGCTTGCAAACAACTCTTTATCAGGAGAGATCCCTCGTGAGATTGGGAACTGCTCTAGCCTTCTGTGGTTTAACGTGGCGAATAATCAGCTCTCTGGTGCGTTACATCCTGAGCTGACTCAAATGGGTAGCAATCCTTCTCCAACGTTTGAAGTGAATAGACAAAACAAAGACAATATAATTGCTGGTTCTGGTGAATGCTTGGCGATGAGGAGATGGATACCTGCAGAGTTCCCTCCTTTCAAGTTTGTATACGCAATCCTTACTAAAAAGAGTTGTAGAAGCTTATGGGACCATGTTCTCAAAGGGTATGGTTTGTTTCCTGTCTGCTCTCCTGGCTCCACGGTCCGGACGCTTGATATCTCTGCTTATCTTCAGCTCAGTGGGAACAAGTTAACCGGTGAGGTTCCTGAAAACATCTCTCGGATGAAGAAGTTGAGTATGCTTCATTTGGGGTTCAATGAGTTCCATGGGAAGTTGCCTAAGGAGATTGGAGAGTTGCCTCTTGCGTTTCTCAACTTGACTAGAAACAACTTCTCAGGACAAATACCTGAAGAGATAGAGCATCTCAAGTGTCTGCAGAATCTTGATCTGTCTTATAATAACTTCTCAGGAAACTTTCCAACGAGTTTGAATGACTTGTCTGAGCTGAGTAAGTTCAACATCTCATACAACCCTCTCATTACTGGCGTCATACCATCCACAGGACAGCTCACAACCTTTGAGAAAGACTCATTCCTTGGGAATCCTTTACTCCAGTTCCCAAGTTTCTTCAACCAATCAGGGAACAACAACAAGACAAGGACTCAGATTACAAACCAAAAGCTAGGACACAGACCAGGAACTATCCTTGTGGTTTGCATCTCCTCTGCTCTTGCATTAGCCTTCATCGCCTGTGTAGTGATAGCAAGCATCATTGTCATGGTTGTCAAGAGTTCAAGGCAAGCTGAAACAGATCTCTTAGACGGTTCCAAAATCAGACACGACACCACTTCCAGCTCTGGTGGTTCATCTCCATGGCTGTCAGGAAAAATCAAAGTCATTCGGTTAGATAAGTCCACATTCACATACGCTGACATTCTCAAAGCGACCAGTAACTTCTCTGAGGAGAGAGTAGTAGGTAAGGGAGGATACGGAACTGTTTATAGAGGCGTGTTACCTGACGGAAGAGAAGTCGCAGTCAAGAAGCTACAAAGAGAAGGCACAGAAGCAGAGAAAGAGTTCAAAGCAGAAATGGAAGTTCTAAGCGCTAATGCCTTTGGTGATTGGGCGCATCCGAACCTCGTGAGACTCTACGGATGGTGTCTTGATGAGTCGGAGAAGATCTTGGTGCATGAGTACATGGGTGGTGGGAGCTTAGAGGAGCTCATCACAGACAAAACAAAACTTCCATGGAAGAAACGTATTGATATAGCCAAAGATGTGGCTCGTGCCTTAGTGTTTCTACACCATGAATGCTACCCTTCGATAGTTCACAGAGACGTGAAAGCAAGTAACGTTCTCTTGGACAAACACGGAAACGCTAGAGTTACAGATTTTGGACTAGCGAGGCTCTTAGACGTTGGAGATAGTCATGTGAGCACTGTGATTGCTGGGACTATTGGCTATGTAGCTCCTGAGTATGGACAGACTTGGCAAGCTACTACGAGAGGAGATGTTTATAGCTACGGAGTGTTGATAATGGAACTTGCAACGGGGAGAAGAGCTGTTGATGGAGGTGAAGAGTGTTTGGTTGAATGGGCTAAAAGGGTGATGACAGGTAACATGACATTTACAGTTAAAGGCTCACCGTTTACTCTCTCTGGGACAAAACCAGGGTATGGAGCTGAGGAGATGACTGAGTTATTAAAAATTGGTGTGAAGTGTACAGCGGATCAGCCTCAGGTGAGACCAAACATGAAAGAAGTTTTGTCTATGTTGGTTAAAATCTCCGGTAAAACTGAGCTCTTCAATGGTTTGTCTTCACCACAAGTTTACATAGAAATGTAAAATCTTTTCTTCTTACAGTTTATACACAAACACAACAAACATAGTTTTGTTTTCATTCTTTTTTGAATTCTTGCACACAAGATAGTTTTGTTCTTTTATGTACAGAGACAAATATTGAAATAAAGATCTTCTCTTCTTTAGCTCTATAGTTTCACTCTCTCATGTTTCTTACAAGTCAAGAAACACACAACAGTACAATGAGTTTAGGCTGAGATCTCTCTAATCAGCCAGTTTAAGCTTGGGACAGCGAAATAAAGAACTAAAAAAGACGGAACAGCTAAAGCAAACGTGACAAAGACATAGACGCCAAGAACAGCAGCACTAACAGGGATTGCATATAAAGCCACCAAAAGGAATATAACTACCAAAGGAAACTTAGCCAACACATGAGCAACAATAGCCATTGACTTACATACAGAGTCATGAACTCTCCCTGTTCTGAAGTATCCTCTAGACAGACCATTCCACCAACCTTGGTTATCATCTGACGTCACTCCATCGCAGCACCCTGAAGTGACGACGACCCTTTTGTTGTCACTGCGAGAGCCATTCATGGTTTCCACCATCCATAAAAGGTAATAGTTTTTGGAAGGGAACTTGATGGTTCCTTTGTATACAAGTCTTAAAGAGAGGAAAGTACACCAAGGGCAAGCGACGAAGAAAGGAAGCTGGAAAGGAAAACCTGTGGATTTGTTAACGATGGCTCGTTGAAGCCCTAAGAGACAGTACTTGCAGATGGTGTGACCACACCATAAGACGTAAGGCACGTTCTCAACGATGTTGAATGATTCCCAGCAAATGGGACACTCTAATCTCTCTTCTTTCGTTGTTTTTATGCCATCTCCGGATGAATCTAAATGAGTGTTTCTCGGTTTTGTGACATCATCTTCTCCTTTTGATTTAAAGCCTTCCTTGATGGATTTTGAAGCTAACTTCCACATAACAAACTTCCTTCAAAGAAACAAGAAGTAGGAATCAATCAGAGAAAGCTCTCTTCAGACACTAAACAGAGTTGATACAGTTAAAACGCATAGATAATTAGAATTCAGACATGAACTTGATGAAACAAAACAAAGCATACCACGCAAGAATTCAAAGAGAAGTATCTATCTTGACTAGCAAGAGTTTATCCGGTCAAATTAAATATCCAAAACTCTGAAGCAACACGACGCCGTATCGGGAAAAGAAACCACTGAAGAGAGAGACACGCGTCGTAAAACATGGTGACTCTAAAAACGCATTTCGAGGTCTTCCCGCCGCCACCGATTTGACGACGTTAGAGTCACCATCAAACGCACCGTTTCATTAAACACCCATCACCCAACACCACTAACGTGTACTGCTTGCGTCAGCAATCGGCTACTTCCGTAATTGCCGCCATTAAAAACGATTTTTACTAGGAAAAATCTAAAACTAAATTAAAATTAAAAATTAAAATTAAATGACATTTGTCGGTGTGAGTGAGCTGTACGCGTTTAGTTCAACCTTTCTGGTTCTGGATCGAACCAAGCAGTTTCCTCCGACAATATATGTTTTAAGTAAGACACTGTCTCCACGTTATTGGGTTTAATTATTTTTTTTAATTAGGGTTCTAAATCGACAATCTTCCCTCTCTCTTTCCCCATCGAATCATCCCAAAGATCTGATCTTTCTCCAGATCCGTAACTACAAAGAGAGACAACTATATTTTCAGACAAAACCCATGTTAAAGATCTGATCTTTCCTCAGTTTTTGATTGTCTCTAGACTGTAAGTGAAAGCTAGAGAGAAAATAAAAATGGGTCAAGGCGGGTCACCGGCGCATAAAAGACCCTCCGGAAGCGGCGGCGGAGGACTTCCGACGTCAACGGCCACAAACGGCGGAGGAAGAGGCGGTCGCGGTCTGATTCCACGTGGCAGACAGATGCAGAAGACGTTCAACAACATCAAGATCACGATCCTCTGCGGATTCGTCACCATCCTCGTCCTACGTGGCACTATCGGCGTCGGAAACCTCGGGAGCTCGAGCGCCGACGCGGTTAACCAGAACATCATCGAGGAGACTAACCGGATTCTAGCCGAGATCCGGTCGGATTCGGATCCGACCGACTTGGATGGGCCTCAGGAGACGGAGATGAGTACTAACGAGACGTATGCCTTGGGGCCTAAGATAACGGATTGGGATAGTCAACGTAAGGTGTGGTTGGAACAGAACCCTGAGTTTCCTAGTACTGTTAACGGCAAAGCTCGGATCTTGCTGTTGACTGGGTCTCCTCCTAAGCCCTGTGATAACCCTATTGGTGATCATTATCTGTTGAAGTCTGTGAAGAACAAGATTGATTACTGTAGGCTCCATGGGATTGAGATTGTTTATAACATGGCTCATTTGGATAAGGAGTTAGCTGGGTACTGGGCTAAGTTGCCTATGATTAGGAGGTTGATGTTGTCTCATCCTGAAGTTGAGTGGATCTGGTGGATGGATAGTGATGCTTTGTTCACTGACATACTGTTTCAGATTCCTTTGGTTAGGTATGAGAAGCATAACTTGGTGATTCATGGTTATCCGGATTTGTTGTTTGATCAGAAGTCTTGGATTGCGTTGAACACTGGGAGTTTTCTGTTGAGGAATTGTCAGTGGTCTTTGGATTTGCTAGATGCTTGGGCTCCTATGGGACCTAAAGGGCCTATACGTGATGAGGCGGGGAAGGTTTTGACGGCCTATCTTAAAGGTAGGCCGGCTTTCGAGGCGGATGATCAGTCGGCGTTGATCTATCTCCTGCTTTCTCAGAAGGATACATGGATGGAGAAAGTGTTTGTGGAGAATCAGTACTATCTCCATGGGTTTTGGGAAGGTTTGGTTGATAAGTATGAGGAGATGATGGAGAAGTATCACCCGGGGTTAGGTGATGAGAGATGGCCTTTTGTGACGCATTTCGTGGGGTGTAAACCGTGTGGTAGCTACGCTGATTATGCGGTTGAGAGGTGCTTGAAGAGTATGGAGAGGGCTTTTAATTTTGCAGATAATCAAGTGCTGAAGCTGTATGGTTTTGGACATAGGGGGTTGTTGAGCCCCAAGATTAAGAGGATCAGGAATGAGACGGTTACTCCTTTGGAGTTTGTAGACAAGTTTGATATTCGCAGAACGCAAGTGGAATTCAAACCACGTAACTAGAGGGAAAAACAAGGAGAGGAAAGTCATAGCTCGGATGAGAATCATGGATACGTATAGGTAAAAAGTAAATGACACTCACAAATGCAAAGCAAATTTGTTTGCCTGTACTTTTGCTACTTCACTGTTTCTTCTGCTTTTTGTTTTGTTGTTGTTTGCAAGGATACTTTTAGCTTCAACATTCTTTTTCCATAGATGTTTTGTGCCTTCTTCAGTCAAATATATGGAGAAATTTTTCATACTTGGTAATTGTTAGTAACTATTAACTGTTCGAGTCTTCAAGTCTGATACTTGAACACTTGAACTTGTTGGCAACTATTAACTTTGGAAAAAAAGGTTAAGGAATCCATGATTTGAGTGTATAATCAGAATGAATGTTACACTACTAGTTCGTTATAACCGTTGTTCAGTACAAACCAATCATCTTAGATACCTCATATATCATAGCAGCTGATATGCTGGATCAGTAGAGTAGCCAGAGGAATGATATGGTGGATCATTTCTTCATGTGAATTACTAACTTTTTGGCTGCTAGACGTATCCCTGCCTTTTTCATATAATCATAAGGCTCGAGTAAGAAGTATGCATCAACCAATGTACCAGGAAGTAATGCTAACTCGAGCTCTTCAAACTCATCCTTGCTGAAATTGAGCTTTTGAATGGTTTCCAAAGATTCTTCTTTCTGATATACCTCGGTTCCATTAGATTCTGAGCTTATTCTGCCAACCAAACAAGAATGAGACTCTTAGTGGCTTAGTCCTTTGTACGCAAAGGATAGAGAAAAGTCAAAAACTTACTGTAATCTGGCTGTGGGGTAGTTAGCAAAGCCTTCTTTCCTCATAACGGTGAGCCTCCATTCTGAGTCTGTGCCTGAGCCAACCGATAAGCTATGTGCAACATCATTGGCTTCATCCAAGATCTTGCATAAATCAGGAGGCAAGTCTACAACAATATTCAACCTTGTTCGTCCTTCATGATCCAAATACTTTCTGCTTATCCCAAACCGAACTTTCAAACTGTTTCCATAGAGTTGCAGAGGGTCATCGTTGTGGAACAGATTCATTCTTATGCTCCCACGGTAAAACGAGATCAGACTTGCCCTGATGCTGGAAACAGATACTTCATCAACCCCCAAGAAGTTTTCATCCTCCTGTCTCGTTACAGTTTCTGCTTCGTCTGCAGCATCTGTCTGAAGAGTTCCAATGTTTAGTTTACTTATTAGAGTGGTTATATCAGATGGATCTATTCCACAAGAAGTATCATTTTCTGAGCATTCTGTCAGGAGAGAAACAATGGGATGGGTTTCTTCAGCTGTGTCATCCACGGAAGACAAACTCTGATCAGTTTTAGAGCTCGAGGAAGAGCTTTCTTTAACTTCATTAGGCAATGACTTCTCGTTACTTCGCGTTCTTGGACTTCTCCTTGGTGAAAACCAACTCATTTCTGTTAGAATATCAGGAACACTAGACTCCTGCAAACACCCAAGTACTTCAAGATTGTATCAAACTCTCTTAGTAGTTAAGTTACAGTTTATCCTTTATTCAAGAAGACAGCATTTACCAGAAACAAGACAGTTGCACAGCGCTTGACAACTTCAAGATTCAACCGGGCATCCTCTAAGCTCCTATGTACTTGATCTCCTAGGTCAAAGTACTTAGCAATTGATGCCATCTGCATTAGTTAAAAAGAAGGTTACAAGGAAGCTAAATCATCAAATGATGAGAAGAGTTTGAAAGAGAGAGAGTCAACCTTCATGTCACCAGCTCTCTTACCAAACTTCTGAGACAACAACGAAAGAGAATCAATTAAAGCTTTAGGCTCTGGTGGAGAATGACCAATCTCTGCAAACGCATCTCTTATTCTTACACAATCAAACCTCTTTATGTTATGTCCTGCCCATATCCTTCCTACAAAAACACACACCAAACTCAAAACACTTTAAAGCTTCATCAAAGAGAGTGAGAGAGAAAGCCTTATTACCATGGAGAATGTTGTGGACTTTGTCAGCTATTTCCACGAACGTAGGTGCAGAGAGGACTCCCTCGCGCGTGATACCGCTACGCCGTTTAGAGAGCGTGGAGATGAGAGAAAGATCAATGGGTCTCACCAAAGTTGAGTAGCTGTAGAGTTCCACTAGCTTCATAGGGCAGACTAAGATAGCTCCAAACTCCAAAATAGTAAAAGGCTGTCCCGGTTCTGTCGGAACCGCTGTTTCTAGGTCGAAGAATGCTATCTCGTTGCCGCCTAGTGTCGAAGCCATTGTTGAGAACGCTTTGAAAAGTGGAGGGATAATATATAAATGGGGTTTATAAAGAGAGTAACTTTCACGCGCCACCTCTCTACCCTTTTTACGTTTTTTCTTGTTTTACGGACAAAAAGGTCAAAACTTTAGATGCAAACGGACGAAAAAGAAGCTTAATATCAGCAAAAGTGAGAGAGGAATCATATTGTGGAAACAGACAAAACCATTTCACTCTGTTTTACACAACACTACACCTTACAACTTAAACTTATATAGGTTTGAAATCATTAGGTAAGCCATTCTTATCTTAGGGTCAACTTTTGTTACCATTAGTTGCAAACTATAAAACGTATGAATTGATCGTGTTGGACCACCACTCTCCAGCTGGCTTGACTTACCTCCTTTCCATCTGGGCCTTGACACACTCTATCTTCGAGGCCCACTTTTCTGTTCTTGGCCCATTACCTACTCTATGCTTCATTTTGGGACTGTTTCTAAGAACATAGATATAGAAAACAATTCATTCAATAAAAAACAGAAGTGGTTTGTTAGTTTTCTCATTCCTCTGAGAACTTTGTTAGATACACATCAATGACTGATTATGTTAGTGAGGTGTGTGTTAGTTGCGTGTATTACAAGTTATGATTATATATTTGGTAAGAGAATAAAGGCCCATTGGCCCAACAAAGTAAATGAAAACTCATTAATTGGATATATATAAAAAGAGCCCAAAATAAAAAAAAACAGAGACAAAAAGAAACAGAGCAAAAACTCCCGTCTTCTTTGCCTTTTTCTCGTGCGGTGATGTCTTCTCTCAACTTCCATGGCTGACATCTCACCTTCCTAATTCTCCCCAACCTACCACAAAGTCTCTTTCTTTCCCCTAAAACTTCATCACCCTTAGAGGTTTTTTTCTTTCAATCCATTTCTTTTTTTTTTTTGAATTTTTTTTTCCTAAATGGATGCGATCTTCTCCCCCGCCGTGGAACCTGAAGGAACCACCGACTCAACGATCGACACAGTTTCTCGCTTAGTCTCCGGCGCTTTCTCCGGAGCTCTTACTGGTTTTTTCGCTATGGGTGATTCCTTCCACCGTTAACGTTGATCATCGTCTTCTGTTTGTGCATTTGATCATTGATTCTGTTTAAACTATACGTCTTTGTTCCTTGATTCCTTGCAATTTTTTTTTTTGTAAAAGGTTACATTTTTAATTATTTCGATGAAAAAGAGCACCGACAGAACATGTGAAACATAAGATGTTTCACTCAAACAATTAAAGACATGTTCATTCTTTAAGTTCCGACCACTTTTACGTGTTCAACAACTTACAGCTAATCCTGTGTTAAGACTTAAACGTGTTTGCTTAGGTTGGACGATCTAAATGTGTTGAGATGACATAGTTTTGTAGAAAGGGAAGTGATGTTGCGTCTAGGGTTTAGAATAAACCATCAAGATGATCATCATCTTTCTGTGTCTGATCACTCTTTAAGCCTATTTGGGTTTGTTAAATTTATTTTCTCTCTTTTTTTTTAAAATGTATTGTAGCTGGAGCTTTCACAGGAGCAGTAACTGGTGCGGTGGCAGGAAGAGCTGCACAGTATGGTGTAATCCGTGGGGCTGCACTTGGCGCTGTAGCTGGAGCTATTCTCTCTGTTGAAGTCTTGGAGGCTTCTCGTGCCTACTGGTATTTAGAGCTATCAGGATCTAGGGGTCCATCATCTATGGTTAGTCTTTTAATTTCTTCTGAGCCAATCTTTACACCTTTGGGGATGGTTTTCAAACTTTTTCTAATGACTTTTGTGGTAGAGAGGGAGAAAAGAATTATGAAAGTAAAGAAGTTTGGTAGATGAAATAATGACATGTTACTTGTGGGCCACCAAAGTTATGGGATAACAGTATGGCTTCCTTTTAATTGTTCCCTTCATTGAATCTTGAAGCTTACCTAACAGCTAAGATGGGAATGATCTATGTTGTTAATGATAACACTATGGCTTGGTTTATTACAAAACCACCAATCTAAATATGGATGATTGTCTTGATTTCTGAATCTATACTAGTCATTGTTTATTATATGTGAGAAAGGACTTTAAACCAAGTAATGCTGAGCCTTTTGTTTTGGATACAGGCAGATTTTGTAGAGCAGCTGTTCCGTGGGAGACTAGTAGATGAACAACTTATGTCAACAATGATAAATTCACACCACTGGCAGGTTCTATTCTAAGTCTCTTTTCCTTTTTTTAATCTCATCTTTATGTATAGTTAAATATGAACATGACTGCAGAACTTTAGTAGCTGTAGGAAGACTGAAAACATATTGGGCTTCATAAGTAGTTTTTTTTTTTATCTACTTTTTGCAGTTAAGGATTTCAGATGTAAGCTATGAAGAGAGGGAGGATGTGTATGGTGAATTGGAACCTAGAGGCTTGTCTGGTGAGTCGTTAAGGAAACTACCATGCTATATCATGTCAAGTGAGATGACCAAGAAGCAGATCATACACTGCACTATTTGTCTGCAGGTTTCATTCTCTAACACCCAAACTGATTATAACTTCTTACTCTTTTGTTAACCCTCACACCTTGCGATTTACACAGGACATTGCAGTTGGTGAAATCACACGAAGCTTACCGAGATGTGATCACACCTTTCACCTGGTTTGCGTTGATAAATGGCTCATTAGACATGGATCATGCCCCATTTGCAGACAGGGCGTTAAAGATTAAGACACCATTGTTGCCAAGGAGTGTACATAACAAAAAAAACATTATGCTTATATGTTGTTGTAAGTCTCTGAATCCTTATTTCAGTTCTCTATTTGTGTCTTTCACTTGATCTATCATCCATAGGTTTCTACTTTTGAATGTATACTATTGTAGACATGAACACCTACAGATATGTTGGAAAAGAATATAGAACTTGATTAAGTTATGCACTGATACATACTTCTAATATTCCATACCTTACTACACCTAAATAAAAAGGGAATGGAGCTTGGGAACAAGGCTCCATTGACCTTGTTCTTATGCAGTAAGGATCATTATCACTCTCAACCTTGTTCAATACCCTCAGCTTCAACCCTCCAAGGCCATGAGCCATGTCCAGGGCTTGTGACCATCAGAACAACTCAGAAGGTAAAACTCAGATCATTCTCCCCTGCTCCCCCTCCCATGGTCCTCTAGGTTTTATGGTACTCACTTGTGGCTCAGCTTGTGAACACTGATTATAGCGAGTCCATTGAAATGGCTCTTGACCAGAAACTCTGAGGAAAAAGAAACCAAGAAGTGTTTGGAAATGGCTTACAGAAAATATCAGCCATTTTCAAAACCTTGTTTGTTAAGAGAGCTTAAATAAAAGCTGAAGCTAGGCTCAGCATCCTACTTCCAAGTCCCACCATAAGAGTTTAACCATATTACATAACTGCATCCAGAGATTCCACCATCAGACATATCTCTCGACTTGAGCTTGTCAAGTGTTACGTTATAGGAACTAGTAAAGATTGTGGTATCTTTCGAATCTAGAATCTAGGTAAGTAGACTGCTTATAAAGAGATTCCTTTCGATACAAACTCGCCTCATACCTGCTTAAGCATGATTCTTTTATCGAAGCCAGGGAGATGATTCTCACCACATCACATGATGTACTTCACCTGATTCATAGGGTAAGACTAGAGTTAGGAGGCAGGTGGAGAAACCGGCCGGATCCTAAAATGAGTATTCGGGTTTGGAAGAAAGACTTGAGCATAGTTGACGACAGAGATCAGTGAAGTACATCATGTGATGTGTCTGAAAGAAGAGAGATAGACAGTGAGTACGTGTACGTGGCAGAGACAAGGGCAAACTTTTGGTACGATTTTACCAAACATTTCCATCGAAATTCGTCCTACTAATTTTATTATTGAACTGACTCTATTTCTATATTTAAAAAAAAGTTTGTAAATAGTGGAACATTCCACGTTAATATGTCTATCTTTATATTTGAAATGCATGAGATAACTAAAATAGAAAAATCAAACCACTTCTAACTCCTCATAAATTTATCTATCTATTACATTGGCCTATCTTAATAGTTAGTGACATTTAGAAAGTTATAAACATTCTAGAATAAATCTTCCTAATAAAAACTCATACATCCATATGACTTATAATTCCAATCTATGGCTTCACACGAGATCAGGGCCGGCGTTGGGCAAAGCCGGATGAAACATTGGCCTTGGCCCCCAAGTTTTTTTGAAAAATTTATATGTATACTGGCCCCCAAAAAAAATTTTTTAGGCCCCCAAATCCGAAAAGAAAAAATTTTAGGTGAAATCGTTCAAAAATCGCCTTCGGCCCCATAATTCTCAGAGCCGGCCCTGCACGAGATTGAACTTACGTGATGAAATAAAATAAAGACCAAAGAGGTAAGAAAGTCTATTTTTATATTGAAGACTGTTAATTGGTTCCTTCTAGAATGGGAGATTCTGAAGCTCAAACTTGTTTTCAATATCTATACTGAGTATGGTCAAGCATTTATCACTCTCACCATCTACCAAATATTACTTAATATTACAGTTGGAATCACAGTAATGATCGATCAACGAACACAAAAATAATATTCAATTTTTTTTTTGGGCAAACACAAATTATATTCAACTATGTAGGCAATTATTAACAACCACGAGTTGATTTCTGTTGTAGAAATTTTTTTTGTTACAATCGTTTTTGAATTTTAATACAAAGTTTATTAATTTTATATTATAATTTATTTTTATTGGTCGAAATATAGTTATTTGTATAGGTAATATTGTGTTTTTATATAGAAAATATACAGAATTAATTGTTTTCATAATCCGTGTTCATAAAGTTAAAATGACACTTAATATGAAACAGAAGGAGTAATATTTGTTAAACGTGTCAATACGTACCAGTTTATTACTCCTTTCTGTTTTATTTTAATTTTTTTTTTAGTTTTATTCACATAGACTAAAAAATTATATATTTTCTAAACAATATCATTAACGATGCACTAATCATGTTTAAATCAATAAAAATGAATTGAATAATATAGAGAATCATATATCATATAGAATTACAAAAAATATATTAAATTTTTAAAATGATATTTATTTTGAAACGAAAATTTCATTTTACAACGGTAATTAAACTGAAACAGATGAAATAATATATGTTAGGTGGCATTGTTATATGAAAGTAGGATGTGGATAAATTTATCTTGTCTTTTTTGTCAAAAAAAATTTCTTGTCTAATATGAACAAATGGGAATGTTATCTAATATTTTTTAGTTTCCAGAAATAATGAGAGACAACAAATTTAAAACATCACCAGTGTAAAACTCTATTTTCCTTCAAATAGAATAATTCCATAATAGAGTTGAGTTCATTTAAACTTTATTCTTTTTTGAAGTGAAAAAATTATTTATGGATGTTTATTTCATTATGAAGTAAAAGATGTATTTGATTAGAACATTTCTTACTTAAATTCTATTTTGGAGTAAATTATAGAGTATAATTGAAAATACTCTAGATAATATGAAAATTGTTTACCTTTAAAATGAGAATTAAATTATAGGGATTGAGTTTCGTCATAGTACAAGTCTACGGATCCTGAATTTTCTAATCATTAAAAAATTGTTTACCTTCAATTTTAAACAAAAATATGATATCGTAAAGCATTTCTAGTGAAAATTCTCCTCATTGAGATTTTTAATATATGTGCTATAAATATATATATATATATATATATATATATATATATATATAAGTAATTGTGAGATCACAGTTTTTGTGAAACTATAACCTTATAGGTAAAGATTTTTTAAAAAGTGTTTTAAGAATTCTAAAAAACCTTTATTTATGGGGATCCATAATATATATATATATATATATATATATATATATATATATATATTAAGAACTCCAATAAAGAAAATTCTCATTGGAAGTGGTCTTAATTACATATCAAGTTTATATTTTGAAAACCAAAGATCAGTTTTCTTAAAAAAAAGAAAAAAGAATAATTATCGGCACAATTTCTATAGTTCACTCAAGAATAAGCTTTTTTCTTGAAAAAAATACAATCTTGTTTGAGCGCGTTTAATCTGGCCCCAGTCACTTTAATATTTCATTGAATCCACTGTCAGGTTATAGGAAACAACAAAATCGAAGTATTGCATCAATAGTGAAACCTGAAACTGTGATGATAAGTTTATCAATCCTCACGCGTTTACACTTGTTTTTTCCTTGAAGGTTCTCTACGTCAGTTTATTTAATTACCCCAAAAGATGTTGGCGCTATGTGAGAATTTTCAACCTAACATCGTTATTATTACAAAGAACTTATGAAACGAATCCATCTGTCCAGTTCTTCCAAAGCGCGTGTCTTATCCGGAAACATGTTATTTTATGCACGTGGAAATTGGAAACAATATGCATGTCGTTTCAGAAAAACATACTCCCTCCGTTTCATAATAAGTGTCGTTGTAGAGAAAATTTTTCGTCACAAAATAAGTGTCGTTTTCGGTTTTCAAGGCAAAATTTATTAACTTTATTATGTAATTTATTTTTCTATTGGTTAAAATATGGTTAGGTGTATGGGTAATTGTGTTTTTATATAGAAAATATGCAAAATTAATTGTTTCCTTAATCCGTGTGCACGAGCTTAGAGTGACACTTATTTTGAAACAGAGGGAGTATTTTTATTTCTTTTGAAACTCGTCAAACGTTCGTGTGGAATTTGAAACAACAAGATTTTTATTTCTTTTTTTTGTTTGCTTTAACTTTAAGATTTTTATCTCTTTCTAGAGTGAAACGAGAGATTGCAATGGAGTTTGTTTTTGTTGTACAAAGGAAACTCAAAAGCAGTAATTTATTGCGATTAAAACGCTCTCAATCATTTTTTGAACCATGTTTTTTACTGTTTTTGCAATAAGGATTCATTCTAGATTTCAAATTATTCTGAACTAAGTTAAAAAACACCAATTAAATGAAATAACAGTTTTTATTTGTTTTATTAGAGTAACATTTGTTTTATTTTTGTCTTTTATTATTTTTCTTTATTTTGTTTCAAAACCGAAATCCAAAATATTTGCTAGTGGCAGTGGGACGCGAACATCTAAAATCCATATTAATTTCTAAATATCTGTTAAAATTAAGTAGCCTTATTATTTAGATGCCAATATTAAGTTGTATCCAACATAGTTAAGCCGCTCGCAAAGCCCGTATCATCACCTAACTATATACACATTTAATTATGTATTATGGTAACTCAAAAAGTTACATTTGAGGTTAAAAGTTCAAGAATAAAAAAAGAATTAACACCAGAGAAAAACGACAGGGACGCAACGCAATTGTGCTGGAGCCACCGAGCCATTAATCTATAAGACTTTAAACGTGAAATATTTTGGCCAAGAAAAATACGCGTTTTATGAAACGCAGATTTATGAGCTACAAGCTTCCATAGTAGTAGAGTGTGTTTAGACCACACAATCGTGAAGTGAACCCAATCACATCAGATAAGAGCAATAATGGGGCCACGTAATATCGATTTCTCCACACTAAACACCTCATGCTAATTAAATAAAAAACAAAATACATTTAAAACGTGGTCCAAACACACAAGACTCCAAGATACAGAGAAAAGTCGTCACATAATGACAAGCAGATAAAATAATACTTACATACACACACGGCCTTGACTTTGTAACAAGGGCCGGCTCAAAACATTTGGAGCTCTTGGGCAATTTTTTTCTTTTGCAATTTTGATATAATTTTTTCAGAGAGATTATTTTCTTAAAAAATGAAGATAAAATCTTTAAAAATTATATGATTTTTTAATAATAATTTTAGTTACAAAGAGATATACATAGATTAGTCAATATATATATTTAAAATAAAAATAAAAATAAAAATAGGTCTCTAAAAAAAAAAAATGAACCCC